CTACGGCAGTTTGTCGACTATTGAGGGCCATTGCATCTTCTCTCGAAAATAGATTACTGACTAAAGTCAATTAAGTCGTGATACTGCAAATTGGATCTTCCGAGCCCCCGAGTTTAACAACTGGGCTTGTACGCCCGACACTACCCTCTTGTGGTGTTCAGGCAAGAGTAAGTAGGGCCGAGTGTACACAACTTGAGAGCATTTTCTATTAACTACCACACTAGTCGGCTCTGGCAAGACTATTACGGCGTGAGTCACCCTTGAGCTGAAGCTTTCAGTGCGATAGAATGCTGATGGCCTCAAAGAGCTAGCGTAATAGACCACCTATTTCTTACTAAATCAGAGCCAGGTGCTGTCGTCTCATTTTTCTTCGTACGATCTGACGACCAGGCATCGTTGAAAGCCGAGACAATTATAAGGTCCATTCTACGGCAACGACTACCAAGCGCCTCCGAGTTGAGCGACGAGACGGAAAATCGAATTAAAGCTATTGGTTCTTTGGAGGAGCTTGACGGTATAGTGGAGCTACTTGGTGATATCACATTCGGCCGGTCAAAATTCTATATCATAATTGATGGTCTAGACGAGTGCGACAAGCTGGAGCGCACCACATTACTTGACGCAATGGCGTCTCTCTCCTGCCGCTGCCGTAATATTAAATTTCTTCTATCCAGCAGAGACAGCCTTTCGGAAGAGATTTGCCGACACTTTCCAGTTCTTCAACGAATTTCTACTGGTGGCATAGGTACTCAAAATGATATTGCAGCATATGTAGCAGGTATCATTCATGAAAAAGCGAATAACGGAGATCTTAGAATTGGAGACGCCAGCATCCTTGGAGATATCAAGGAGGCGCTAATCGGAGGGGCGGATAGCATGTAAGCCCTTTGAACCAGTACTACGGCTAGCAAGGTCATTATAACTAACTAAACAGGTTTCTCTGGGTATTTTTCCAAGTCCAAGAAATATGCTCACAACACTGCGACGAGGACATTCGTAAAACTATTAGAAACCTGCCTAGGGGTCTCCCTGAGACTTTCTGCCGAGCACTTCGTCGCATTAAAGCCGAGAATCATGCTAAAGCTGCCAGTAAGGTATTTCCGTGGATCGCTGCCGCGATCCGGCCGCTATCCTTGGACGAGCTACGAGAGGCACTAGCTGTAGAAATTGGGCAGCGGTACTCTATACCAGAACGCTTCTTCAACGACATGGACCGTATTGGCTCCTGGTGCCAGAACCTTGTACAAGTAGACGAGGAAGACCATACTGTCCAGTTTATGCACCAAACCGTAAGACAGTTTTTACTTGGGAATCCCATTGAGTCGGATCTCACTGAATTCCACTTCAGCCTAGAGGACGCCGACCACACTATTGGCGAGATTTGCGTAACCTATTTAAACTTTAGTGACTTCAAGAGAACATTGGCCCCTATGCGCACGCCAATATTGCTACCGTCACCTTCAGAAATTGCACAAAAGGCGTACGGAAAGCATTCGATTTACGCTCTTGCACTCCGTATGAAGTCAAGCTCTACATCTTCTGTCCAACCTATCGACATTGAACCAATTATCAATGCTATCGCTAGCCCCTCATCAAAAGCAACAACCCTTACCCACGGACATCCATTTCAGGCTTATGCGTCTGCAAACTGGTTCCCACATACGAAACATTTTGAGGAGACCAAGTCTCAAGCTTGGAGAATATGGAAGCATATGATCATCAACGACTACGAAATAATGCCGAGCTCGGAGGGCCTCGCAAGCTTTTTCTTAAATGACCCGAAAGGCATGGAACTGCTGGAGCGGATATACCGCATCCGCCACTATGGTATACTTCATCTGATTTCATCGTCCGGAAACAGGGCCCAATATGAGATCATCCAGAAGGCAATTAGTGTTGACCACCTATCTTTGCTGAAGCTTATAATGGGCATAGATGCGTTCGGCGAGGCCGCAAACCAGATACTCCTGAAGGCAGCGAGGAATGGGGACCTGAAAGCAGTGGAATTCCTCATCGCCGCTGGATACGGACATAATACGGTGGGAGCCGATACCGCCCGCCAAACGGCACTCTACGTGGCGGCCGCGGCCGGAAACTCGGAAATTGCTAATAGATTGCTTACACTCGGGGCCGATGGGAACGACGATAATCTTTGGATCACATATCACGAGCTCACGGTTCACCCTGACTGGCCACCTGCCCGTGTACTCCGCAAAGTTGGCTCTGAAATTTTGAAACGGTCTCTTCCCTCGGAAGATATTCCCAGTGCAGACAATCTTGAAACTGATGAAGCGAGCCCAGGCCGAAAAGATGCAGAGGTACTTCCATAATAAATTGATTGCCTAGGTCGATTATGAGCTCAGCCGATCTCATCAAATCAGGCCGACCGTATTGTAAGAAATATGAGTCTACGGTGCCATAACCTTGTATAGGCGATGAAAGTCACACCATTCAGTTTGTGCGTCAGACGGCTAGGCGGTTTTACTTGGGGGCCCTGTCGGGTCTGATCCTACTGACTTCCACTCCAGCATTGATACGAATGTTGAAGGTTTGGTATGGACGCCTATCACTTCCACTGTCATTTCGGCTACGTGACTTTTATAAGCACTAGGCCAGCGCAACAAGCCACAGATTCGAGATACTTCGCCTTTACCCCGGATCTTACCTAATTATACCCATGCTAAATGTAGAAATTAACGCCCATTTAGATCCCTACTTATCCAGCTCTGACAGCTCGGCCTTGGCCCCTGCGTTTTAGCGCCATCACACGCATGAGACTTGACTCATACGTTAATTCGTGGACTTATAAATTCATCTGATTTACCCTTCCACAAACAAGTTCTCGCAACTGTCTACTCAACCCAAATCCAAAGCACCCAACGTTTTCAACCTTCAGTTACGCATCGAACAATGTCTCAAACGTCGTCCGCCTTAGCATCCATTACAGTGTCAGCCGAGCTTGAGCGCCGACGGCTAGTTGCGATTGACTTGCTTGCTGAGAAGAGCATCGATTATGCAACGCTATCCACGGAGCAATTCAACATTTTCGCTAATCAGGCACCTGAACTTCAAGCCTCGTCCTTAGAGCTGCTCGCCAAATACGGCGCCAAGCGGCTCAGAATTGTTCGTCCAGACGAAAAGGAAGGCGTCTCTCACGACGAAGATGAGGACGAGGACGAGGACGAGGACGAGGACGAAGACCCGATGGATGTGGATGACAACTACGAGGATCTTGACCTAAGGCACCCTGATGAGGACGAAGCGCTGATGGCGTTTAATTACGAGGACGAGGACCTAATTGAGCCCCGCGACATGTATGATGACTTCAATGACATATGTGAAGCCCTCTCCCTTCCCCGTCTTGGTCTCATAAACGGGCGTTACGAGCTGTCCGGCCCACACTCTCCTTCGTCTTTTTTAATTCTCACTATAGAAGGGGACGCGCTTTGGGGGCAGTTCTTCATTGATGGCGTTGTCGAAGGTGTCCTCTGGATGCCTGCACGACCCCCCCGTGCGTCGCGCAGGCATCTCTCTTTCAACTGGCGAGGTGTAGACCTCTCTTCTCCCAACCAACAGGATGAAGTATGTCAGAGCCACGGCCGCCTCCGCTTCCTCGGCGGTGGGCGCGTCGAGGGTTCCTTGGATGAGATCATAGAGGAGAGGTTCGAGGCCAATAGATTGCCTGGCCAAGGCACGCGGAGCGAAGTGCCTGCTAGCACTATGTGGAGGCTTTGGTACGAGTATGATTGAGCAAAGGGAGAGGGTAAGCATTCGATTTACACTCTTACACTCCGCATGAAATTAAGCTCGGCATCCTCTGCCCGGCCTTAAGACATTAAACTAATCATCAATATCGTCGCTAGTCCCTCGTCAAAAACGCTTGGAGACTAATTCATTAGGTACCATATTTACACTCTTCAATGCTCACCTCTGGATCGGGTCCCATGGTTTAGGACCTTGAAGCATAAGGTATTTTATTGATATCATTATATATATTTTCTCGAATATCGCTTCGAGCCCATTGCTCGCCGGCCTAGTTAATAGCGTCGTTGTGTGTTACTGTATAAGATGTTAATCCTGTCTACTAGTGAACACCCTCATTCGGTTGGCCGGCAGTCCCGCCTTCAACCGGCAATCGGACGCTGTATCAAAGACATCACGGAGTTGCTCGCTGAAGAATCGCCGCCTAACGCGTTCAGCATTCCGGACCGGGAAGCTCCCTTTTCACCTCAAGTGTCACGAGTGCGGGCAAGATTCTGGGAAGAGAACTCTCTAGGCAGTCTGGGGTATTACCCTTTTTGGGAGCTTCCCCAGATACAAGCTCCGTCATTCTTCCGACAGGCCCCGTCGATGACACAAAAGATAGTCTTCTGCGGCGCCACTTGCTTAACCAAACACCCAACTTCGTCATTGCAGAATATAGCTGCGATATTTCCGTCTACTGTTGGGGTACTTTTAGAAAACCACAACCAACGAGGAAGTCTGCATCGCTGATCCTGCCCAAGATCACGCACGACACGCCGCAGAAGCTGACGTACACGCACGGCACGAACCACATCCACTACATATCGGAGGCGCCATCTTCAACGACAAGCAACGTCTTACACGCCCAGTAGAACGAGTTTCGGGTGCCACGGGGGACGAATATGCGACTCCACTCCGTGACGCACGAGGCCTGGCCACCCCATAGTCTGGCCGGCCAGTCGGCAATTAGAGTTGTGAAGTGGGTGGTTTCCAGGTTCATATATATATACATCATCATACCTTTTTGGAGGTTGGCCGATTTTGGGTTACATTTGGTCAGTGAGGCTATGGAGAGAGTCTTACCTATCACCCACCCCTATAATTACCCTGCTAGATAGCCGTTGTAACAAACCACGCTACATTCCAAACAAGAAATCTAGCACAAAAAAAGCGCTCTATCCGAGCTAGATCCGACTTGGGTTGTGGCGGTCTCATACACAAACAAATGCGGCACGTGACAAGGCCCAAAAAACAAACTCCCCGGGAAAGGCTCGAACTTTCAACCTCCTGATTAACTGCAACTCATTGGAAGTTTAACAGTCAGACGCGCTAGCCAATTGCGCCACCGAGGACATCTGATTGATGGATTCTCGGCCCCTTACTTCTTTTATTATGCCTTTCGCCGCAAACAAAATAGCAACACATCACTTGAGCAGGTATTTACCCTCACCAATTGCTCCTCCATGCCCATCCCTAGATAGAGCACGTTTCCTATAAGAATGCCCAACGCCGACTGAACATGCTAATTTCTATTATTCCAGACTCATAGACTCTACAAGAGAGGTATTTTTGTCTACCGTCCCCCTTACACACCGTTTTCACTAAGCCACTGCGGCAGTGCACACACATACTCTGCGCATACAAACAAACAGTGGTCACACTTCTACCTCCCATACACCCGATTTCTCGCTCGAACATCATCACCACGCTCCATCATCATGTCAGGCCGAATAGCAAAAGTCATCTCTACGGAGCTACTTGTATGTGAATATTAAAAACCGATCAACTCCCCGCGCTCAAAGCTGCGAGCTAACCCAGGGGCTGCGACCGAATATAGGAGAACAAGGATGCAGAGTGGATCAACCTGGTAAAGTGAGTGCACACACCAAGAGAAGGTACATCACAGCCTTTTTCACACCCAACTGACTCGATGCAATATAGAATCACCTACGAAGACGAGAATGGAGTAGTCCGCCCCTGGGAGGGCACGAGGCGGCTCACGCGTCCCGAGACCAGCGCTGTGGATGCCGTCGTGATGGTCGCCGTCCGCGAGATGCCCACAGGCGCGGAAGTCTTGCTAGAGAAGCAATTCCGACCGCCCGTCGGCAAGCTCGTTGTTGAGTTCCCTGCCGGCCTCGTCGACAAGAACGAGACTGCCGAGGAGGCTGCCCTGCGTGAACTGAGAGAGGAGACGGGCTATGTGGGCGAGATCGTGGATGAGAAGTCCGGGCAGCGTCCCGTGTTTCATAGCGGTGAGCAAGCACTCTCGTCCATATCTTTATTCACTTAACGCATGCTAACGGTGGTGCTCTAGCCCCCGCATCTTCGAAGTAAGCCAGCCTCTCCCTCTCTAAGTTTACAGTCTCGCTCATTTCCTCCCCCTTGCTCTCTGCTGCTGACTCACACATTGCCTCTTAGCGGGACCATATACATGATCCAAATCAAGGTCGATGCCGAGAAGGAGGAAAACAAGAACCCGAAGCCGGCGCTGGAGGACGGCGAGTTCATCGAGTGCTTCTGGGTCCCGTTCAAGGACCTGTATCAGGAGTGCAGACGGCTCAAGACCCAGGGCTTCGCTGTTGATGGGAAGCTGGGCAACTTTGCGGAGGGCCTCGAGGCTGCGAAGATTTGGAAGATCTGAGGATACCTGACCACAGCGACAGACAGTTGGAGTGCTGCTTTTGGAATCGGCGGTTAGAATGATTGATGATTACGAATGCGCTGCTTGCGTAGAGGCGACACGAAGGACTACGGGATAGACACGAGAGAACGAACAAGCTCACGAATGGAATGAAACCAGCGCTACGTAGAGAAACTAGATAAAGATAGACTGTCATGCCCGGGATCACACCCAAGAGAATAGAAAATCAGCTGGATTAGAAGCTAGGAGTGATGCACTTACTGTTCATGTTCAAGACAGCGCAAGTTACTGCTACTCCGAGATGCGCCGAGTATGACAGGAAATACTCTCCGGCCCCGCTCAGGTCATCATTACCTTGCATAAGCCCTCTATCTAATCGTAAATGACAATGTTTAGATCGCCGAAGCAGAAATTACAAACTCGGGATATGATTACTCGTACAATACACATGACTTCTTGGCCTATATACCACGCAATCCCAGAACATGAGACTTGCGCATGACGGAGCTTCTTACGTTGGGCTCGTCAATTAAAGGGAACTGATAAAATAAGGTCAGTCAGCACGGCAGACGGGCGAGAAAGACAGTGGAAGAATCAATATAATAGGGATGTAGTGGCTCAATTCATAATGGGGCTGCCCTAGCATCCTAGTTGAAAGGATTCCCGTACGCCACTCATGCCGTTGAAAAATGTTTCCCCAAGCGAGCCCTCGATATGCCCTAGTCTATCTGTCCAATATACACATATATGAATCATACATCACTGTTCGGTGCAAAGCTAATACATAACCCGGCTGAAGTACATGCTTAAGTCGACCCGGACTTCATGAGTTCTTCGACAACAGCCGCATCCTCCAGTTTCCCGCTCAGTGCAGCGGGTGCCTTCTCGCCGGCGCGCTTCCGAAGCACGTTCTCGATGAAGGCCTCGCCGGCCTTGTAGCTGCTCCTGACGAGCGGGCCGCTCGCGACGTACAGAAAGCCCATGTCGATGGCGCGCTGGCGCCACATCTCGAACTCAGCCGGCGTGACGTACTTCTCGACCTTGAGGTGGCGCTTTGTCGGCCGCATGTACTGGCCGAACGTAACGACGTCGACGCCGACCTTGCGCAGCTCGCGCAGCGCATCCATGACCTCCTGCTCCTGCTCGCCCAGGCCCAGCATCAGACTCGTCTTCGTGATGATGCCGTCCGGCCCCTTCACCTTCTTGACGTGCTCCAGGACTTCCAGACTCTGCCTGAATGTCGCCCTGCGGTCGCGCACGTAGGGCGTCAGCGCCTCCACGGTCTCCACGTTGTGTGCGTAGACGTCGAGGCCGCTCTCAGCCACGATCTTGACCATGTCCAGATCTCCCATGAAGTCGCCCGTGAGCGCCTCGACGAGCAGGCTCGGCTTCTTAGCCTTGATGCGTCGGATCGTCTCAGCGAAGTGTCTGGCACCGCCGTCAGCGAGGTCGTCGCGGTCGACGCTGGTCAGCACCACGTAGCCGAGCCCCCAGCGCGCGAGGGCCTCGGCGGTGTTCTCGGGCTCGTGGGGGTCGAGGGGCGGCGGGCGACGGTTCGTCTTGACGCTGCAGAAGCGGCAGCCGCGCGTGCACGTGTCGCCCATCAGCATGATGGTCGCCGTCGCGGCGTTCTTGTTGCTGCCGCCCCAGCACTCGGAGATGTTGGGGCACCGCGCCTCCTCGCACACCGTGTGCAGCCCCAGCCCGCGCAGGTCCCGCTTGATCTGCTTGTAGTTGTCGTTGCCGGCCGGGATGGGCGTCTTTAGCCACTCCGGCAGCCGCGTGATTGTCCGCCGGTTCGATGCGGGGCCGACTTCGGCTGTGCGGAGCGTGTAGGCGTCGCTGGGCGAGAGGGGAGTGGCGCTCGAAGATGTGGGTAGGAAGTCGTCGAGGGACCCGAGCGATGTGTCTTTGAAATATGTTGGGCGGCGGGAGGTGGGTGCGCTTGTGGACGGTGATGGTGACGATGAGGGCGGTTCCGAGGGGCTGCTACTGGGAATTGTTGCGTAGGAACGACGGGATGTGGCAACGCTTCTGGTAGACGCTAAGATGGCTCGCCGTATTGGCGCACGCACGCGCTGTATCGTAGCTGGGGCCGAGGCCATCCTTGTCGCTGTTTGTATTGCGCTGCTGAACAAAATTGGTCTGCGAAAGACTGAATGTTGTCGCCTTTCTTCTTGATGCTGAATCAATTGCTAAGCTATCTACCTAGCTAGCTAGACCGATAGCAGGACTTATCCAACCGACCACTTTTTTGGCGTTTCCTTATTGGCTATAGTCTCTCGGCTAGCACCGGGACCGGGGAAGACCGGAGACTGCCCAGGTGCTTCCGCTTCCACACAAGAGTACCTACCTCCCTAAGGTAGGTCATAAGCCTTTCAATCTTGAGAAGAGTTTTACTGTATACTTCAAAGAAGAGCTTTAAAAAAAAGTACACAATAATGTCATAATCTCACGCATTTACAACGTGCGAGGTTGTTCACTAAGTTCTTACCCTATACCGGAGTCTTAGTCCAACACAAACCCAGAGTCCTCTTCAATATCACAACAAGTCAGAGTCAAGCATCGATGGGAAAAACACGGTACAACCAAGCTGAAGTTCGAAATATAAGGTACGGGATTCCAACGAAACCTCCTTCGCGACATGCTGTATTGTTACCGAGAATCTAGTTCTAGTTCTAGCAAATGATTGTGATCCAGTTCTGGTATCGGTTGTTCCAACTCTGCTACGCGCGACTGATAGAGACTAAGGGAGATCGATTTCCCCCATGCTTGTTCCATGTTCATATGACTCGATTGAATAGCGCTGCCCGTCGTTTGGTTCACGCCTTGCTCTTGTGGAGAATGCAGTTTTTGGGCCTGGAACCGCCTCACACAGATCACCCATATCACTCCTGCAATTAATAGCAAACCACCGACACCGACCCCCACCCCAATGCCAATTGCAGCCGCGGTGCTTAAGCCGCTCTGGTCATTCTTCTTCTTGCCGGGCTTGCTATTCGTAGGTCGCGTGATTGTAGATGTGCTAGAGGGAGTTGGAGCGGTTGTTGATATTAGACTCGATGTTAGACTCGATGTCTGGCGATTCACGGATTAAAGCTGAAGTAACAGATTGGGAAAGCGTGCATACATACAGATATAAAGTCTTCGTATCTATACTGAATCTGGATCCCAAACGCATTCGCAATTGCGTCCTGTTCTTTAGAGATTGTGGTAACCTTCGTAGACAGCGTGTTGCCACTCGAGATGAATATCTGGGTGCCTCTGAAGTTTCGGATCCGCGAGTTGCAGGCATAAGTGGATCCATATAGCTCAAATGGCTGAGATATGCACGTGAAGCCTCTATTATCGTGAGTGCTTCCTTAGTCTCGTCCTTGATATCTAGCTAAGTAATGGTAGACTAACATTGGGCAGCATGTTGCTGTTGTAACCGACGTCTGTCCTCCACCGAGACCCGGCGCGGGGTCAGCGCAGGCCGCTGTATATCCAGCGGGACATATACCCGGAGAGTAATATTTCCTTCCGTCGTCGGTGTAATTAGGTGGGAAGCAATCGCCCGTAGTCTCAAGAGGTCCAATGACATCCCAGCCCCCGGGAGGCTTGAAATCGGTCAAGAAGGAAGACGTGCAAGAGTGCGGCGGCTCATAGGTCGTAGTTAAAGGACCGAGAGACATATCGTAAAGTGGAAGCGCGCCAGGACCATTGCCAATC